CTCTATTCGGAATCACCTGGAGAAGCATCGACAGATCAATGATTCTCAGCATGGCTTCGTCATGGATGTTCTTGCTCAACTAATCTATTAATGATTCTTTTTCACGGCCAATCGGTGACGAAAGGAATAAGAGGTAAAAAGAGCCTGACTTTGGGGCAGTCGGCAGGTCTCTACCTAGTACCGCTGAATTAGGAAAGGAAGCTCATGGCATCAAAGGTGACATCCTTAAATGATTAGGGCGGTTACAGGACAGAAAACAGCGAGACATTAACGCACTAAGTCCCATGGAGCAACGGGCCACAAGTGGAGTTCTCAAGGCTCAGTACTTAACCATTATTGTTTATTATATACAAACTAATAATAGATATCGGCATAGACAGTAAATATATGTAAACTGTTTGGCGACACTCAAAATAGGACGGGTTATCAACCTGACGAGGACTCGCAAACCACAGAAGATCTAAACAAATTTTTCGAATGGTCTGAAAATGGCAGATGAAATTCAACGTCAATAAATGTAAAAGCATCAGTAGCAGGAGATAAAGAAACGTTAGTATACCAGATGAACAACGATGTGCCAGCAGAGAACTTACTGCTAGAGAGACGAGGAGTAATGATAAGTAGGAACCTTGGGCCAAGTAAACAATGTGTTTTTGCTCTGTGTCAAGGCTAATAAAGTACTTAACAAGGGCAAAGGAGTGCGTTTACAAGACTAGCGAGGTCATCCTAAAACTGTATCTTTTGCTCTTGTGAGGACCACACTGGATTATTTAGTTCAGTTCTGGCTCACCTGTGACATGGAATGGAGTTATAGGAATCTCGGAAAAGAATTCAGAGGAGAATGGAAAAGATCACCAATCCCGGCATTAGGAACCTTGAGTATAGAGACAGGTTAAAGCATCTATCTCTGTACTCCTCGAGAGACGAGAGGGCGAAAAGGCACTATAGGAGGTGTATAAGGGAAGACAGGGCTAAACAAAGGGGACACATGCCAAAGGTACTAAATTATCTAAATCCAGGAGCGAACTCTTGCAGAATAATGGTTTTAAATTAGACAATTTAGATTTAGAGGCGTGAAATAGGTAAACACTGGTTTGAAACAGAGTAGTGGATGAATGGAACAAGTTACCAAATATCACTCGAATACGCTGAATTGCTTCAAACATAGGTTGGATGCTCATATGAGCAATAGGGGTTGGGTGTAAACGGGACTGCCCAGTATGGGCCAATAGGCCCGCTGCAGTTTCCTCCATTCTTATGTTCTTATGTTCTTAAGTGTGACACTGTCAAGACGCGCTACAGTGCAACTTCTGTAATGCATGGCAGCACAGAAAATGCAATACCTGTACAGGGATATTAGGACACTTCTATCAAAAAATGGCTAAAGGACAAGCGGATCTACCAAACTGGAAATGCTCAAGGTATGAAGCTGAGGTGTATAACACAGCTCAGAACACTACAACCCTAGATGAACCAGACCCCATCAACGAGTCTTTGCTGGTTGATCCGAAACCCAACACAGCGCCTGCAGTGGACCAAGACACGCACAAAGTCAGCTACAAGATTATTGAAGCAACTTCAATACCTGGTGGAGATAAAATTTTCGATTCCAGCGGTTATTCATGTACAGTCAAGAAGAAATGTGGAGATGTTCTTAATGATCCAGACTGATTAACTGTGCAGCATCTGTTTGTCAGATCGGTGACCAGTTCATTCCTGGACCCCAAGACCACATTCATCAGGCAAGCTTGGGATCAGATGTTGCTACTTCCATTGCATTGCAAGCAAAACTAACTGCAAATCAACAAGTCATTCACTTCAGCTGCAGACATTGCCTCTGGAGTTTTGCAAGAATGTCTTCCCTCAGGACCCTGTAGTGCAATTAAGTCAGTTGAATATGTTGTTCACAATGCAAACTATTACTGCTGTAAGCACCGTCCAAAACATCCAAAGAATCTGGACTTTGAAGTGGAGTCACAACACATTGCCGAGAATTTCTTACGTGGTGACATTTGGGTTGATGACGCACACCACTTAATTTTTGCAGCATATGACCAACTTCAACTGCTCACCAGCGCAAAGACATGGTACTGTATGCTGATGCCATGTTCCACGTACAGTACTAGTTAGAAAACCTTTCTATCAGTTATTCAATATCCATGTGTTTGTACGCTATGAAGAAGCAACAAAACAGCTCCCATCATACAGTGTATTATGTCTCGTCGCTGGAAAAAAGACTACTGTATGTTTATGTGATTAAAGCCATCACTGATATGATTCCCAGTGAACCACGTGTGGAGAAAATTGTGATGGACTTTGAGAAAGCTCTGTGGCGTGCTACAAGTTCTGTGCTTCCGACTGCTGAAATAAAAGGGTGTGTATTCCATTTTACTCAAGCACTCTTCTGGAAAATACAAGAACTTGGATTGCAAACTTCGTACTCATTAGATGAGGGAACTCACAAGCTGCTTCGGAAGTTCATGACGCTTTGTTTTATTCCAGAACAACATATTCTGTGAATATTCAGGGATTAATAGCATCTGTGACCTCAGGACCACTTCTCGAATTTGCGGAATACACCAAGAAAACATGGATTAACAGTTCTATCTGGCCACCTAAGTCCTGGAGCATTTATAAGCTAAGTGTGAGAACTAACAACAACGTTGAGGGGTGGCATAACCATTTGAAGACGAAAAGGAAGGCACATATGTCCTTTTACATATGTTTCAGCTCCTACATGATGAAGCAACTTTAGTAACTCCTCAGATTCTTCTCGTGTTTGAGGGAAAACGGAAGCGGTACCAACGCCAAACCTACAAACAACTACAAGCAATGGTCTTCTCCGTATGGGAAGATTATGAAAATAGTGGGCGAAGCACCCTGCAACGTCTCTGCAATAGCCTAAAAAAGCTTGACAGTTAATACCATTGTTGACATCGGCCCATCCTATGTGAGGCCGAGATTACCGAAATGGACCAAGATCATCACTGTAACTGGGCCAAAGTCACCAAGAACCAACTTTACTTGTACTCAGTAGCCTTTATTATGAAGATGGTAAAATTTTAGTTAAGGTCATTCCTTTATGTAAATATTCAGACTATGTTTTTTCGACTGTTTTTGACGTGTTTTGAATGATTCCTATCGGAAATCACTAGTTTTTGAGAACCCCTCTTATCTAATGGTAGTGGGGAAGCCCCAGTGGGAACCTGGGGTTTTGTGTGGGGGAAAATCACAAAAACTGGGTATTTCAGACATATGAAGATTCAAATACGTAGTTCAAAATACATTAATAACCATCGGAAAAGCAGAGTTTGGATACCGGGTATCTAACCTAACCTAATGTAACTACTGATGCCAATACAGTAGTTAAATTCCTAAGATTCCCCAGCTAAAAACTTAACCCTCTTACCAGTTGAACTTATCAGATGAGTTTATTAGATTTTCACTTCTCTAATTACTATTAGCTCTCTTCAACTCCTTATCCTTCAACCTTAGTGTTCTTTATTCTGATGTACACTCTTTAAAAAAAGTATCTTTCATGAGGGGTCCAATAAATTTTGAACTGAACAATCTTCGGAGATATAACCCCCACCCCCCTCTTAACCTAACCGGGGAAACCAGAAGGACCTGACCTAACCACCTATCTAGGGGATGGAGCCCCCTTGAACCTCCAGGTGTGTAAACTAAACCTAACCTAATGTAACTTTACCTAACCAAAACTTACCTTAATTAACAGATGGAGGAGGATAAAGAGTTGCCACTTAGAGAAGGAAGTGGTGCAGTATGGTGTTATGAACTTTATGTTGAGCCTGGAACATGTACCAAACAAAATATTGGTGGTAATGCTCTTTCTTGATGCTGGCACAAAGGAGAAAGCCATTAGACCTAAAGATGTCAATAGCTGCTGCACCCTTTACAGATTGAAGCCGGTATTATTGCATAAGTCACCTGGTATTGAATTTTGATAATTTTATGGTAGCAGTTAATAGTTTAGACAATTATAAAACACTTTTCTTCTATGACATTTCTTTTGCAAATGACTTACATATGCTGGGGGTCCAGGGGGGTGGACCCCCCCGCATTTAGGAGGTTAAGTTAGGACTTTTGTGAGAGTAATGCTATACAGGTAAAAGAAAAGTGTCTTAGAATTGTCTAAACTATTGATTGCAACCATAAAATTTTCAAAATTTAATACCGGGTGACTTACTATGTAAATTTACCCATCTTCCCACTAATTCAAATTCACGTGACACTGAGACTTGTGCTGATTGGCTGAGTTAGAAATAAACAAAAAATATACCAGTACCTGTGAACTTGTATACTTTATTAAGTAAAATAAAAAAGTGAAAATACTATAATGTGAAAACTATAAATTTCCATCAGAAGTGCTATAGAATAAAGTATTGGTTGTTTATTTATTTATTTAGTTTATTTTTTATTTTGTTGCTCTAGCTCCCAATATAACAATCAATATCAAGTTCTGTGAATGGTCACTATGGAATAATAACCACAAAAAATAGTTTAATTTATTACGTTTCCTTCGCAAATTTAAATCACGCTGATTGACGGGACATAATTACGCGAGTAAGATGTAAACAGTGTCTCCTGCCAAAATGTACTGTACTTTCTTTAGACAAATGGAAAACTCCAAAAACTCAAGAAGGAAAAATTTGCAAAGGAAATGTAGTACAGTAAAGTATTTTTGTGGTTATTATGTAGGTATGAAATGTCATTTCCATTCAGTAACTTGAGAAAGTATGTGCATGTATGCTAGATTAAATATGGTGTGTAGCTTTGTATCATATATCAAGACACATTTTTATTTTTATTTTTTAACTTTACTTATCAGTTATAGCTCTGTTTACCTTAGAAATTGTATTAATTTTTTCCTTCCCTGGTCTTGAAGAGATAAGATGTTTAAAACGTATTATTTGTTGAGGTTCTCAATTTTTCTCCTCCAGTCTTCTATCATTTAATAATTAAAAATATTTTGTCAACAGTTGGGAATTCGTGTGGATGGTCGAGATCGACTGGATTATCGACAACTTGAAATAGAAACCAGTGTAGTTTCTACAGCTAATGGTTCAGCCCGAGTGAGGCTTGACCATACAGATGTCCTAATTACAGTCAAAATGGAGATGGAACCACCATTAATAGACCAGCCTAGAAATGGAAAACTTTACTTCTTTGTAAACTGGTATGTTGTGTATGGTATGACCTGATGCCCTTCTGCTGTATGGTTGTTTCTCAGCATCAATGCCATTGGGTTGAGACTCAGAAGACCCTTAACTTTGGTGGCTAGGGACTATAGTCTTGTAATTCTCCATTTCTACCTATCCCAACTTAAAATGACAGTTACCCTTAAAAGGCATGTGATCTGATTGGAGCTGTGCCACACTAGCATAATGCACTTTTTGTCTTGGCTTGTGTAAGTACCACCATCTTGAATTCATGGTTCAATCCTTTATTTCATTTATTGTTTAGTTATGAGCCACTATCTGCAATGAGTTATTGTCAATGGTAGTATTATTGTGAAGGTAAGGAATATGTCTGTCCTTTGTTTATATAATTTTACAAAGGTTATATAATGTTGTTAACAGTCTATCCAGGTTGGCAATTCGTGGCCATTTTGAGACTCAAACCCCTGTGAATTTTAAGGGCATGCTGTAGTATACTTAAGTGCTGCACTGTTTACTGTTTATGTAGTGTTCCCCCCCTGTCACCTACCATTCCCCTGTGTCTCCTACCATGCCTCTGTCGCCTTCAACACTGGTCAACAACAGTTTAAATTTATGCTTACCGGGTACATCCCATAATTAATGCTAATTATGCTTGCTTTATATGTCTACTTTATTTTCTTGGTTGACAGTCTGAACAACGGAGATATATCAAGGGGAGATGGAAGTTTTTGTAGGGTGGCTGGTCCCTAACCTCCCATTTTTTTTTTTATTCATAGGGGATTAATTGCTTCGAAAAACGTTGATTCACTATCCATTGACTTTTCACAGTCCATATATGTGTCGTTTATCAGGGTATACCTGTACCTGTATTTCTTACTTGTTTCATCCTGTTCACTTCACTGATTGATTTAAGCATTTCATTTCAGTTTTTTCTCTTGCTTAATTGTCCATACCTATTCATTAATATCTGCTGAATGATTTCCTTGCACATCTTTGCTTCCTTTAAATCCATTAATGCATTGCTCTCGTTCCACATTGTATATTTCTTTGATCGGTCACCTGCTATATACATTATACTCTCTATTACTGCAGATTTGTGGATTCTTTTCATTTTTCTTTACTATACGTAGTACATTTGATGACATCAACTTCCAGTTTCCTCTTAGTTAACTTTTCTCTAAGTTATAAATATTAGGTAGACATTTCACATATTTTATTACAGCTCTGCCAATGCTGCTCCAGAGTTTGAAGGCCGTGGGGGTGAGGATTTGGGCACCAGCTTAAGCTCGATGTTGGAAAGGGTGTACTCTTCTCCACATACACTGGATACTTCAAAGCTCTGTGTTGTGCCTGGGAAGTATGTGAAAGGACTGTATGTTGACATTGAGGTAAGTTGAAAATTATTTTGGGGCTCCAAGTAACTTATCATTTAATTTTTTGTTAATATTACTGTATTCGTATATTGATGCACAGTAATTCTTGCACCATTTGTGAAGTTTCTTAAAAAAAAAAAATATTGGATGTTGTCTTATGTATGATTTCACTTAGTTGCAGCACCTATAATATACATACAGTACAAGTAGCATCTTATCCTAACTTTATGGGAGATGCTCCTTTCAACTCATTACAGCCTGATGTTGTCTTCCCTCTGGATATAAAGTTCCTCACTTGTCTGGGGGGATCCTGTGAGGGTAGAGATGAAGCCCTCACGTTTGATGGCTTCCCTTTGTCAAGAAAATTGGTGGTCATTGCACCAGGGGCCTTGAATTTAATAAATTTGGAGGGTGTATGCATTGTGTGTTCTTTCCTGCATAGTTTTGTCAAAGGGAAGGTTAATGTAAAAAGTTTCTTTTTTTTTCAAAGTAGAAGCCTTTTGACTCTTGTGTTCTATTAAAGCTACCATGAGTTATTAAAACACCATGGAATGTTGGATGAAATTTGGGAAGATTAGTTGTTGCAAGGTTTTCAAGAGAACTTAAATGTATTACAGAAGGAATTGAATAAAGAAGAAAACATGAAAGTAGGTCACATAGTCCTGATTGCTCATTATGGGCAGTGTAGATAAAGCACCTTGAATACTTTGCCTTTAAGTACACAAGGAGACAAGTGTGACCAACACTGCACTCAATCACCTAAACTTCTCCAACTATATGCTGTAGTCAGGTACCTGTTCATAGCTCAATGCTCTGAGTGTGACCAATTAATTCTTAGAATAAGAGGCATGTGCTGTATCCACTTTGCTGCTACTCTCCTAGTTAAGAATGAAAGAGGGAATATACTACAGACAGTGAAAGAGGGGATATACTACAGACAGTGAAAGAGGGGATATACTACAGACAGTGAAAGAGGGGATATACTACAGACGATAAAGAAAGTAAAAGGTAGAAAAAAGAATATTTTGATCACCTTATATATGTGATGGATGAGAAAGAGATGGAGCTACAGTGTCATGTTTTGGATATAGAAGAATGACTATGAAGGAATAATAATATTAATATGAGAAGTGCAGGACATGCTGTAAGCTTAAGAATGGTAACACTCCAGAAATTTGTAGAAGAACTGGAATTATTAAGGTTGAGAGGAAGAAAAGTAATACTGTATAATGAATGACAATGATGTATAGTTTATGTATGAAAGGGGGAAGAATACCAAAATGATGGCAGAGAGCTTGTATAGTTCACCTGTTTAAAGGGAAAGATGATAGAAATGTATGCCAAAATAATAGGGGAATCAATCTCTTGAGTATAGCAGAGAAAGTGTGTAGTAGAGCAATTACAGTATTGAGAGTTGCTGCTAAAAACAGAAAGGTCATTAGGGATAAAGCAGTCAGGGGTTAGGAAAGAAAGGATGTGTGGATCAAGTGTTGCAACAAGGAATATGGATGAAATTTTTGTAGAGAAGATAATCTGATTTGTACAGTTTTATGTTAACAGATATTTATTAAAGTTATTTTTTCTAGATCTTGGAGTGCGGTGGGAATTTGTTTGATGCAGTGAGTTTAGGCGTGAAAGCAGCACTTTGGGCAACCAAGATGCCAAGAATTTACATCACTGGAGAAGATGGTGGGGAGTTAGAGTTTTCAGTTTCAGACAATCCTTGTGATGTTGACAGAGTTGATGTCTCCAATGCCCCAATTCTTATAACCCATTTAAGAGTAAGTTATATGTTTAGTAATGCTAGTATGTGAGAATGTCTGCACTATATATTAATGATAAAAACTGATCTTATGTGGCAGTCTGAGACAACTGGTAACTCTCATTTGTATGAGTGTATTGTATAGCCTATGGGTTCTTATGAGTGACCTGTGGTATACATCACCACTAAGCACACTAGTGCAGAGTGTTTCATTACCCAGGGAGCATGTAATACCAAGTGATAGGAAGGTACTATCCATCCAGTGTTTTGGTGCAAGCTAGATACTTCACACCTCACTTGGTTGAATCCAGATTTATGGCTTGTCTTGAGGAGCCAGAGAGTGTTGGGTCAAAAGTCAGTGACTACTGAGCTTGATGCATCCATACATAAGTTCTTTTCTCTCACAGAATACTGTTCACACTTATGCTATTCATTTTTATTTTATAGTTATTTATTATATTTCCTATATTTTTAAGAGTAATTACATGATTTTCCCACAACTTTGCCACAGCTGTGGCGACATGTGTTATGTGAATGTGTATGTGACCCATTTTCACTTTCAGTGGAGATGAAGTGGATCACACTTCATACATACATATGACATATATATATATAGACAGTATAGTACAGTGGGGTATGCTATAACGAACATAATTGGTTCCAGAACCTCGTTCGTTATAGCATTCGTTCGTTATAGGATTAATCCGTTCCAGGCCCCCAAATACAACCACCTAACACTGAAAAAATTCTGTGGAAAATGTAAAAAATACGGTACTTTATCTTACCTTAGTGTTATTCAGCATGCAGGTACCCCTAAACACTGGCACATCACTATCACTTCCACTGGGAGTCTTGGCTTTAAGGTCCTCAAACAATTGTCTGGCCTTCTCACAAATTATAGCTTCACTAATGTTACCACCTGCCATTTCTTTCTCCTTTATCCACACTAAGAGTAAATTTTCCATCTCTTCAATCACATTACACTTTGCTTTGCTAAGTCTAAAGATTCCCTTTGCCACTTGCACAGTTTTTAACTCCTCTTTATTCTTCAAAATCGTACATATAGTCGATTTAGTCATCCCATATTCATCACTAAGTTTCGCAATGCTTCTTCCATTCTCACGTTTCTTTATAATTTCTTTCTTAGTTTCAAGGGTTATTAGCTTTCTCACTCGCTTTGGACGACTCATTGTTACAATTGTATACTTGTATAACAAAATAGTTATACAAATAATGCGAATTTCCACATCAAAAGACGAAATTTCAACAATAACAGTGGTGCACTGGCTACACAATGAGACAAAGATGGCGCCTGAAGCTCTTGTTGTGGGTCGCGGTACAACAATATTCATGCGCCAGGCGAAATAGTCCCGTATTCATCCGCGTTCGTTGTAGGAGTTGCGTTCATTATAGCATTCTCAATTTTATAGGTAAAACCGTTCGTTATAGGAATATTCGTAGTAGGATCCGTTCGTTATAGCATACCCCACTGTACAGTCTTCATTATATATGTCAGAGGTGTGTTCCAGATAAATGCGACTTAGGTATAGTGAAACTTTTTATAATGGGTAATTTTTCCCCATGAGAAATAATGTAATTAGGGGTACAGTATTTCCATTTCAACACACTGTTTGATAATTCACAAAGTCTTCTTGTACCCAATCCGTGAATTATCGCATCACCACTGTATACCGTACAGTAAACTCTTCCAATACTGGACTAATTCATGCAAGTCCTCTCTCTTATTGGGAGGATTCCCTTAATTGGCTGGAAGCATGCCACACACTCAATTTTAAGTTCTGATTGGCTGGAAGAATATCACTCCTCAATACTAAGTTATGATTGGTTGGAAGTATACCATGCGCTCAATGCAGACTTCTGATTGCCTGGGTATGTATTCTGCACACACATACACTGCTGAGACTCCCAGAATAAAGTAACAAGGTGAAGAGTAACCTGAAAGGATAAAGGATGAAGTAACAGTACCAATAATTGTTTCAATTAACTAATTTATTAAGAAAAGTCATTTAAGTTAGGTAATGAAGTAACTTTACTTTGTTATCATCCATCTGGGTGTGTGTGTGTGTGTGTGTGTAATAATAATAATAATAATAATAATAATAATAATAATAATAATAATAATAATAATAATAATTAATGGTTTATTGAAAAAGTTCTGCAGCCCAAAGGCTGAAAATATACATTGGACATAAATGACTTATTACATACATTGGTGGTTTAACAAAAGCCTTCATTAAAGAAATGGAAAAGGAACATATAGTGAACATACAGATTAATGTTTACAGTGGAGGTCACGTAGATCTTGTGCGCTGTGGTGTTGAACAGTAACACGTAGTGTAGTAACTCCCTCACAGATGGTGTTATGAGAGGCATCACGTAGTGTAGTAGTTACCTCACAGGTGGTATTATGAGGGGCTTAACGTGGTGTAGTAATTCCCTCACAGATGGTGTTATGAGGGACCTGACATGGTGTAGTAAATTCCCTCACATATGGTGTTATGAGGGGGCTTGATGTGGTGTAGTAGTTCCCTCACAGGTGGTGTTATGAGGGGCAACACATGGTGTAGTAATTCCCTCACAGATGGTGTTATGAGGGGCCTGATGTGGTGTAGTAATTCCCTCACAGATGGTGTTATGAGGGGCTTGATGTGGTGTAGTAGTTCCCTCACAGATGGTGTTATGAGGAACCTCACATGATGCTGCAGCAACTCATTCACTACATGGTGTCGTAGCATCATGGAGACACCATGTGGTTTGGTGTCACAGGACCTCACTCATTCAAGTGAGTGAGGTGTTGTCCCAGGCCTCCCTATCGTGATCAAGAGAGAGAGAGACTTCATTAAGCCGAAACCATTAAGCCGGACAAAATTTGAAAATCTCAATGGACCAAGGTAGATAGATTGCATGATTCACCCACGTTGGTAAACAAAGGGATGCGCTCAGTTATAAATTAGCGTCGCCCGTGATAGCATCACTTCTACTCTATCGCTCCGTTGATTATATTTTATTGCCATTAAGACGTGGCAAACTTTATTGTCAAACTTATTTGATATTGCCAGTAATGTGATTATGTTGTAGGCTGGAGTAGCATACATATTTATTTTATTATTATTGAAAAATTAGACAATAATAATAGCCCCTAAGAAAGTGTTTAGTGTCCGTAAGGGTTTGATTGATTGAAACAGTTTATTTAGCCAGAAAATACAGATACAGAGTCGATAATAATAACACTATTAACATGGCTGAGCCAGTTGAGAGCCAGAGCTCTCTTGTAGGCACCTGATATATACTGTGGTGAGAAGGTTAAGGTTAAAACCTTATCAGTGAACGAAAAGTTAAGGGTGATTGAAAAACTAGAAAAAGGTGCTACTCCCTCGCAAATATGTGCTGAATATGGAATTTCAAAGCAGTTGGTGTTAATATTGTTATTATTATCCACTCTGTATCTATATTTTTCTGGCTAAATAAACTGTTTCAATTCAATTCAATTCAAAGTTGCACAAATGTGCCATGAAATTTAATTTGGACCAGGAAAAATCAAGCATTAAGAGAATGAGGAAGGTTGGAAATGAGGACTTGGAAGAGGTACTTTACTTTGTTTCATTACTTTTTAAATTAATTTTTATTAAAAAAAATTGGATACATTGGTGTTGTACTCGTATTTTTTTTTTAAATAATTTTTTATTTTTTTAAATTTGCTCTAAGGTGGACCTCTTATCCCGGACACCCCTTCCCCCCAATTACTGGGGTAGTCTGCCTTAGCCATGTTTTACTGTACCGTGTTTATATGGATAGAAGTTTCAAGCATTATGGCATGTAACAGTTTCTTCTTTCATTTAGATTACAGAGAATTTGACAGTTGTTGACCCAACCCCAGAAGAAGAATGCTGTGGCCCTGTACAGATTGTGGTTGGTGTTACCCCTAAAGGGTTAATTACAGCAACTCAACAGCTTGGTTCAGGAACATTTACACCACAGACATTAAGTGCTTCCATTAAGGTAAGAAATTTTTATGATCTGTATTTCTTCCTTTTTACACTCATTGGTTTTTCTTCAATAGATACTGAAAGGAAATGTTGTTGTACCTGATTTAAATGATATAGATATGTATAATATATTTGTTCATATCAAAGACATTATCTACCTGTACAACTGTAATTCAGGATTACTTGTGTTCAGTACTTTCTATCACAGAAATACTCTCACATTATAAATTAAAGAAACTAATACATAGTTATAACGAAATGAAACAGGATGTATTTTTCATTCAATATGGCAGAGTGCACGAGATCTTGGAGTCAAGATCCATCAACGACTAATGGAAAAATTGCGACAAGAGGAGAACATCACAGATAGACCAATAAAAGGGTTTCTTTAGCTCTTGATGTATATTTTCAGTCTTTTATGGAAATAATGTTCTTTATAAGACGGTATTACTATGAAAATGTGAATGTAATATCAAGTTGACCATGTTAATGGCAACAAGTTTACTTTGTTAAAAAATATATATTTTTTGTTTTGGCAATAAATAGGTATTGTATTTGATGATTGTTTTTCTGGGTACCTGAAATTAAAAGAAAACAGCGTAAGCTAAGAAGCTGATAGACTTTTACTGATTAAGATGTCATCTAGAAACTTAGATGTGTAATATTCCATAGCCAAGGAAGAGAGACTAGAGCCGCATTTCTTAACCTGGTTGCCTCCCTGAGGGGTGATTTTTCAGTGGGGGGTAGGGACATGGAAGCTCAGGGAAAGTGGTCACTATTATACTGACTCCAAGGTATGTTGGACACACACACACACTGTATGTCTGTACATAAAGAATTATACATGACTCATGTCATCACATTGTTCAGAAAGACAACATTAACTAATTTCTTAAGCTTTTTTTATCACCTGAACAAAACTGAAAAACAATGACTAAAAGCATCACACACACCATTCAATAACAAAGATAAAAACAATCCCTCCAAATATACTAGGGATCTTTATTGAAGTCTGCTCCTGACAGTACAAGTTCCAGCAGGCAACTGACACTTACAAATTGACAGAGGACTGCTGCTAGCCCTGTCCAGTCTACACTCCACCTCACATGCAGTATTCTGTTCTGTTCATTTCATGTTTCAGGCTCTCATGATTTTAGTTGTTTTAGCAATAACAAAGGATTAATTGTTACATACGGTAGCCATTAATTGATCTTGGACACAATAACAATATAGCTACAAAGAATTATCACTTCTTAAAAAATAATCATGCACTTACTGTGAGGAGACATCTTGTGAGGAATGTGTGGGTCTGAGCATAAAGGCATTTAGGATGCTGCAGAAAGCATTAAAGTATGGAGGTTGTTGCTGATGTTGCACTAACTGTTTAACCTAAGTAAATGGAGCTATTGTATATATTAAGGGAAAGAGATACTTAAAGAGATGAAAATGATAATAGATGAAGCTGGATCCTTGTTGGAGGCCAAACTAGAGCAAGTTGGGAATGATATCCTCACTAAGACTGAAAAAGTAGGTGATAGGATAGAAGGATAGTTACGAAGAGCTATGCTCAGGTTGCAGAAGGGTCACAAACAACAATGGGCCCAATACTTATTACTTTACTTTTACTTTTATTCTCTTTGCCACTGATCGGCTCGTTAGCCACTTGGGTGGTTGGTCACATCTCTGTTATGCACTGTTGGCAAGTACTGGGCATGCACTGGTTCTTGAATGTACCTGAACCTGCTCCAGTGTTGGTCAAGTCTGGTCTTGAAAGAGCTCACACTCAGTGCCATCACAACACTTTCTGGTAGATTGTTCCAAGAGTTCACAACTCTCACTCTGAAAGAGTTTGCCCTCACAGTTTTCTGGACTTGTGGCTTCTTCAGCCATGAGCTGTGACCCTTGTGGGGCGGACATCTGCCAGCTCCAGGTATGCACATTCGACTGAGTAGTGCCCCCTGAGATGTTTATACACTTCGATTAGGTCTCCCCTTGCCTCTCTGTAGTACTGTATAAGCTAGGTAGGTCCAGGTGTTCTAATCCCTCTGGGTAATTGTGGTTCCATAGAGCTGGCACCAGTCTGGTGGCCCTCCTCTGGACATTTTCAATCAATTGACAATCGCTAGCATACCTCGGGGACCAGACGGGGTGACAGTACTGCAGACAAGGAAGCACCTCACTCTTGAAGATTGTGACGTGTGATGGACCATCCAGATATCTAAACGACCTTCTTAAAAGACCTACTAGTTTCGTTGCCCGATTCACCTGCTCTTAAAGGCCCAAGAACTTAAGTTCATTGTCGACATACACACCCAGGTCCTTTTCATATTCGATCTCAATTAATGCAGTCTCTTTGTCCTGTTGGGACATGTGATACGCTTCCTTACTGTTGGTATGACCCAAGTGCATCCTTTTGCACTTCTTGACATTGAAACTTAACGACCATTTCTTCGACCATTCTTGAACCTCATAGAGATCTTAGCTGTTCATAGTCTGCTGGGTTCTTAATTTCCCTAAATAAATTGGCATCATCTGCAAACATTTGTATGGAGGAGTGTATAGCTTCTGGCATATCATTTATGAGCAAACAAACAACAACGGGCTCAATACACTGCCCTGTGGTAACCCGCTTGTCACTGGTACACATGACGATTTTGAGCCATTAATCACCACACACTGCCTGCAGTCATGCTGAAAGTCTCCGATCCATGCAAGATCATATCCCAAAATCCTGTATCCTTCTTATTGTCATGCAGTCTGGTCTCCAAGATATTGTGGTGGCTAACTCTCCCTCCTACAACTGCTCCGCCATCCTCACCTCAGCCAATCAGCGGCGCCTCTCTTACCACAGACATCCGTCCCTGAGTCGTTCGCCGATTGGCCAGCTGCCGTCCTCGCCTCAACCAATCAGCGGCGCCTTTCATATCTCACCTCTGTTCCTGAGTAGGCAGGTTTGTATAAATACCCAACTGCCTCACTGCTGCATATCACCAACCTCATCTCTGGCAGGAAATTTCTCTTTGACACAGGGGCATCAGTCAGCATCATCCTTACCTCACCACGAGACACAGTGAAGCAACCCTCATATGACCTGTTTGCCGCCAATGGTACCCCTATTGCCTCCTATGGTGCACATATCTTCGCCTTAGATTTTGGTCTCCCCAAGACTCTTTGCTGGTCTTTCGTGGTGGCAGATGTGTCTCAACCCATCCTTGGCTTCGACTTCCTCACCTTCCACAATCTCGTCATCGACCCAAGCAACCTTTGCCTCATCCACGATCCTACATCATACACGATCCAGGGTATACGTGCTGTGGTCACCGACACCATCACCTGCCTCTCACCGTCAAACCAGTTCTCCTACCTGCTCGAGGATTTCAATGAACTTTTTTCAACCCCAGTCTCTCCACCATCACCTACGTCGGGAATCTTCCACCACACCGAGACTGCAGGGCCTCCGGTCTTCTCACGCCCTCACCGCCATCGCCCTGAGCTCCTGAACCCAGCCAAGGTGGAATTCAACAGACTCCTACAAGACGGCATCATTCGACATTCAAAGAGAACCTGGGCATCTCCTCTTCACATGGTTCCAAAGCCATCATCCAATGACTGTAGGATATGCGGTGACTACAGAGCCCTTAACCTTGTCACCAAACCTGACAGGTACCCTATTCCGCATGTCCAGGACTTCCACCACAAACTCCACGTCATGACCATCTTCTCGAAGATCGACTTGGAATGTGCCTTCCACCAGATTCTATTGGCACCTGCAGATACCCAGAAGACTGCCATCACCACTCCATTCGGTCTCTTCGAGTATGCCTACATGAGTTTTGAATTACGCAATGCAGCTCAGACCTTCCAGAGGTACGTGGACCACATTCTTCACGACCTAGACTTTGTCACTGTCTATATAGACGACGTTCTCGGCGCCTTCTCCGACGCCTGCATACAACAAGCTTCCTGCAGCACCCAGAGGGGAAGGGTAGTATTGTAGTGGCCAACTCTCTCTACAACTACTCCACCGTCCTCGCCTCAGCCAATCAGCGGCGCCTCTCTTACCAACAGCCATCCATCCCTGAGTCGCTTGCCGATTGGCCAGCTGCCGTCCTCGCCTCAACCAATCAGCAGCGCCTTTCATATCTCACCTCTGTTCCTGAGTAGCCAGATTTGTATAAATACCCCCCCCCTGCCTCACAGGGAAGGTCATTCAACTCCACTCTCTCCAGCCAACAAGACCTCCTCTCCAGAAGCTCCTCAACCACACAGCAACTCCCCAGCATCCTACTGCATTGTTCTTGTTTATACAATATACGTGGAGTTACGCTATTCTGAGTTTCCTTTCTCACCTCCATCCTGAGTGCGAGATCGCCCTTAAGTTACGGTGTATGTGGTCCTGTAGTGGATCCTCTCCCCTACAACTTCCAACTGAGCTTCGGCCGCGCGCCTACCAGCCAATCAGCGTACAGCCAGCTACGCCGAGAGACTAGGTCTATGCAGTGGACGTAGGGGTACGATCGCCGACCTAGTCTCGATCAGAGCGTTTCACACCTTACGCTTTAGCCGCTGTGATTGGCCCTCTCGCTACGCTCACCCCAAATCCTGATCCTCGTAAATTGTATAAATATGGCTATGCCTGACTAGGGAGACCATTCTACACTCGGCTACCGGCCCAGCAACTTCTCTCACAGCTCCTCACCACCCAGCTTCCTCAGAAACCTCCTCGCCCTACAGGACCTCTGAGCAAGCTTCTCCTCACCTAGTCACTCCTAAGCACTGCACTGTACAACAATATATATACAGAAAGTGCATTGTGAGTTTCCTTCCTCCATCCCATCCTGAGTGTGAACACAAACACATAATATACCCCACAGTCCTAAAGAAAAAGTTGACACATGAAAGAAAGAAAATCGACTAACTGCACCGCATACACATGCTACAATATATATATATATATATATATATATATATATATATATATATATATATATATATATATATATATATATATATATATATATATATATATATATATATATATTCAGTATATGGTTTTCCTGCCTATTGCTTTTAGTTATTTTACAAGTTCAACAATAAAATAAGTAATTGTTTTATCTGTCACCTGTTTTTATTGTGTGTGCAGGTATATATTATACTTGTGTCAGGGCAGCACTTGGATGTGTCGTAACCTTGCTCCGGTAGCCATCTTGAGTCAGCTGTTGGCAACAAATATGGCTGTCGGGTTGTGACGTACAGGGTACTATGCTGTAAAACATCACCACTGCGCTCCTCTGACAATGCTATTGTTAATGAGAGGGACATAATCTAAATCTTGAATATGTGTTCAATGTATTATAGGCGTTTCTGGTTCATTGTGAGCGCATCATGGCTCGTTTTAAGTGTTTCTGGAACGGGCTCGCCATCCATGACTGAAGAAGAAAGACAGAATCTTAAGTAAGTGTACAGGACTATTGGTGTGTTGTGATAGAAATGAAGTAATTCCCACATTATCAGTGTTGCTAACAGTGAATAGTTGTATGACTACTCTTACATTACACTATATTGAAAGGTCAAGTGAAACTTCAAATTCATGGAGCTGAGAAAGCCAAGTAGAATTTTGTGAAACCATTTTTAATGAAATTATTTGATTTGGAACAGGTGTATAATATATGTCTTGTAGTTTATTTGGTAAAGGTTGTTTATTTCCATAGACGAGATGTGTATAAAGGGGATGTTCGATTTCTTTAATTTTTTCTATAGATGTTCTTATTATAGTAAATATTTTAGGTAAATGTTTACATTAGGACATGACCAATATGTTTTTCAAGTGTATTTTGGTGTGTTTCAAGCGAATCTGACCTTCATTTTTATCGGAAATTAATTTTTTTGCCCAACCCCGACCCCCCAACAATAATGGGGGGAGAGCCTGGGAAATCGGGGTTTTGGGAGGAGAACACGAAAACGAGTCTTCTAACCTAACCTATCCCCTAGCCGGGGGCTCTGCCCCTGAACCCCAGGTAGGCCTAGCTTAAACTACCCTTACCTAGCCTATTCATTTCCAACTAGTTTTAATGGAGTTCAAAAGACTCAGAATAAGGAGATGTAAATGTTTCAGTAGTTTAAAACTTTGGGGTGTGCCATGTCTGAAAGTACAATACCTTAGTTAGAAGTGGAAGGACCAGGGATAGGTTCAGGGTCATCGACCTCCTCCTCCTCCTCGGAATTTACAGTGCGGGCACTCAACAGACATAGGGAGAACACCGTGATTACGGAGGAATTGGATAGCATGATCGTCTTTCTCGTAAAACTCGGCAATAAACTTAAAATAGTCGTAGGAGCATGATTCGCAACCAACCTCCACCACGGTCATTGTCAGACTGGTGACTGAAATTCAAATCCGTACCCGTCGCGTGATGAGATTAATACATCAATGGTCATGACTGGATGACGTCAGTCAATATTGCACATGCATGTTGCATAATTAACTCGGTTTCTCACAGATAACATCTCTTCGCAGAGACGAAGACTGAAAAGTACGTAAAATCAATTAAATTAAATTCTCGAGATTTTTCCATTTCTGACTTGTATAAATGGGGTTCAAAATGCTCAGAATAGGGAGATCTAAATGTTTCAGTAGTTTATAGCTTTGGGGCATGCTATGTCCTAAAGTAAAATAATACCATATTTTAAAACAGGCGGCATTTACCAGCTCCTAATAGAACCTGACCTAACCAACCAAAGAAACCTACCTAACCCTGCCTAATTTCCTAGCCGAGGGGTGGACCCCTGCCATATTAAATAATAAGTATTTATTTTGATATCTGGTACCAATGAAAGTAACTTTGTTGAAGCATGATGGTGTAATTTTTTGTTGTTTTGTTTTGTTTTTTGGGTGTGAAAGTATGCCTAGACCAAGCGGGTCGGTTTTTGCATATAAACAAACGAAGAGTAACGACAACGCGCTAACAATGGCAGATTTTTTTGCTAAATATTTAAGGTGAATAATTAATTTCTTCACGTACAAAGCACACAGAGACGTCGTTTTGTGTCATGATCAATTTTTCACCGTGTTTTACCCAGCAATTACCCTTATCCTTCCCACTACAGGTGATTTATGACTGTAGATAGAGAAAAAATATTTATAATTAAAATAAAAAGTTGTATTATTTTTATTACTTACTAACACAAATAACATCTGTGGAAAAAATAAAAAAAAATCGAACAACTCCTAGGTGCTGTACCTAGAAAAAAAAAGGTAATTTTTTTCAGGAAAGTTGTCATAGAAGTTTCCAATTGGTTAGGTATGTACAGTCTATAGATTTTGCAGGTAAACAGTTTAACATATGTATAGACAACACAGGTATACAGTGTACATAGACTGTGGTACAGGATAGAGTGGTTTCCAATGTACCCTAGACAGTGCAGGTATTCAACAATAGTAAACAGTAAGGTATCCCTACCAAGGATTGCTGACAAAGCCATTTATATGTTAATGTGGTAAAGGTGGCGGAGACTGTTATTACCAGGAATAACTTATGGAATTGAACCAAAATTTCTAGAAATACAGTTCTATATTTGCATGATACTCAACATGAAATTGGAGGCAAGAATTCATAGAACCTGACCTAACCTTTCCTTACCTAACCTACCAAATCTCACCTATGCATTGTCATTTCGATTTTCTTTCTGTCATCCAAACAACATCTCTAGGAAAAATGAATGAACTCAATCCAATATAAATTGTAATAAATATTAGTGATGAGATCATCATTGGTTTCTTGATGTGTTAACAACGACCGTGGATGCTCCCACATAGCAGACAATGTGAACCAGAATATGGTCGCCACGGGAGATCTGACGGTGCTATCATTATGGTAAATAATTTATTTCTTCGGCAACAAAGCATGTAGAGATGTGAAATTAATATCATATGATCAGTGTTCGCAATGTTTTTACCTCGTTACTTCCCTTTTCTTTTATGCCCTGCCCACTAACAAGTAATTTGATGATGAAAGGATAGGCTAAAATGAAAAAAATACTATTTAGTTGTTGCTTCAATTTTATTACTTGGTATCATCCAAACAATATCTGAAAATATGGTGCAATTTCATAAAGTCCTTTGGTGCTGACAGTCTCCTCCACCTTTACTGTTAATGTTTGTCAAAGGTAACCATTTGTAACTGAAGATCATGTGGTCATGGAGGTGGGGCAAGGGGGCAGATTCCCAGATCATACTGTGTCAAGGGAAAGCACTATTTGGTTGGGTTGGGATTAACACAATCATTTTTCTGAGGTCAGACATCCAGGTATGGTATGCGAGGTCTGGTTAAATTAAGTCAGTCAGTTACCTTAGGTAACTGAAGTCTCCTGACCCAAGGCTTGGCTGTTTGACAACACCAGTAAAATTAGATCAGGTCCTGTAGAGCAGACCATTCACCTAGCTGTTGTACTTTAGTTTTGTACAAGACACCATCATGACACAGACTAACTTCTATTTTAGATTCAGTTATATACTCCATTGGAATAAATTAAGTTACAAGGTTGGAAAGGTTTGGTATTTGTTTAAAAGATATTGTTGTGTTATTGGAAAAAAATATTAAGCCGACCAAAATCGACTGTGGGAGCTAGCCTAACCCTTTACCGAGTGTAGGACACACTCCCTCTAGGGCGGTTTCCCAAGAATTTTCCTGAGACCTCTTCTAGAACTGTTGCCTATCCATGTGACTCCATCTAGTGCTGTTGCCTATCCAGTGCGACCCCATCTAATGCTGTCACCTATCCAGTGCGACCCCCAAGTCTTTACATATATACTGTAAAAGTAAAACCCCCATAATTCAAAGTAATAGGGGCTCTAGCCCTTATGAATAATAAGATTTTATGAAATATGGGGGATACCACCTGAGTACATCACTCATGTTCACACAGCCATATTAGGCCTCCATGACCAGCCAACCATCTTTAGTTTATGTGACTCTTAGGCTCAACTCATGTTTCCTCCTCTTTTTTTTTAATAAAAGCTTGTTGTTAAATGACCCACTCTCCAATATAACCATATGTAATCATCGTCATTTCTGTTCATTTTGTATTTTCAGCCATTTGCTGCTATTTTCTTTCATTAAACTGTTAATCATTGCACACACACACACACACACACACACACACACACACACACACACACACCGAGTTGAGTTCAATATCCCCTGTACAGTAACTCTTTACAAAATTGTGAAAGACAGACTACTATGATGCAATGGATGAAGGATTTTGACAACCCTACTGAAACAACAGGAGTCGCAGTGTTCATTCTGAAATTCATCATCCACCCCATTAAAGATAGTTTTTTGAGCAATTTTATGTTACAGTACAGTACTGTAATATTTTTTTATATCCAGGGATTAGCCCTCCCGGGCACAGGTCACAGATCCACATCAGAGCCTGGGGGCGAAAATATGATAATAATAACCAATAATACAGTATGCCTGGATAATTCGTGGTCCTTTACTATTCGTGGATGACACCCTGGATGTACTCAAGAATGTCTGCTGGTAGATTTAAAGTTGCCGGCATTTTTGCTGCTGGGACAGGGAGACATTCGTTCTAGAGACAGTAATTTCCTTTACCTGTATTGTGTATATATATATGTGTGTGTATGTAGACACTACACACAAAATGCATACAAATAAATAATAATGGGCAATTCCTATTACAAATAATCAGAAACAAATGTATATTAAAAATGTCGAGTCTACACCCTCCCCCCCCCCCTGGTAAGCCAATGTTCTTCGTGGATTTGGCGATTCGCAGCCATTTTGAGAATCTAGCCCCGCGAATTTGAAAAGCATGCTGTAATAATAAAAAATAATACAGTTGTACCCCACTTAACGCGGTCAATAGAACCCAGAGGGTCCCGTGTTAAGTGAAATCCGCGTTAAGTGAACAACAGAACATATGGGATTAATTCCAATAGAAACCGGCCCGACCCCCAAACTCCACTTTTTGAAGACACATAACTATGTTCTAGTAAAAATAACATCTTAATTTTATGATGGTACATGCACACAATTAATACTTAAGAGAAATAGAGAAATACAGTCGCCAAGTTAATGTCCATTCAAATAATGGACTCAACTCCCTCCCCCTCTCACACTACACTGCCGGCTCTTCCCTCTCTGAGAAATTTTTGGGGAAAAACCACTAAATTTTAATAAATAATACCTCAAACTAAAGTTAGGATAATACAATTGACATTGCTGGATTCCTTGTAAGACCAGGAATATTTTGAATATAAATGTCATATATTTTGCACAAAAGATAACATAGTTACCCAGACAAAAAATTTTTTCTAAAATTTGTATGTCTAATGCAAAATATATGATGTTTATATTCAAAATGATCACCAAATTATAAGAATTCCAGCAATGTAAATTATATTCTGACCGGGTAATTTGTATGAA